TAACATATAACTTAAACCATCTTTTTCTCTTAATATATAGTACCAATTATTTTTAATTATTTCAATTTCCATGATCTAACTAGGCTCTGATACCAGTTATACCAGAGTGCGCAGAGTCAGCGGAATAAATTTTGCACTCATAAATATTTTGGGGCTAATTTAGCGTTTTTATATACTTATGATGGCTTTTAGTTGTAAATTATGGATGGAGGGTATTTTTGGAAACTAATATTTCTGGAAAGTTTCTGTAATTGATTTTTCTGTACATATATCTTTTCTCTAGTAAATTAAATGGCTAAAATTAAACCTCGTCTGACAAACTTTATAAATCAATTATTAAATGATCTCAATAAAATTTCATTTCTAACCCCCACATTTCAATGAAATCACAAATACAATCTACTTATTAATAATTCATTTCTATATCTTTATATTTAAATTATTTATAAATTCTTTCCAAATGAGTCTAAAATGTCAAATACTGGAATAGTTTATTCAACCAACTTGATTAATTCTATCTGTATTGTATTGACTCGACCATTAATCTATCAGATTGAATTGTCGCATTGTGCTATTATATTATTATTATTATTTCTCACATATCCACAACCATTTTATCTATTATCATATATAATTTAAAACCTACAAACCAAACTTCAAATTCCGTTTCTCATCTTTCCACCCGCCCCCCCCACGCGACGCAAACTAGAAAGAGTTTAGCGGCTATTTTAAATTGAGAAGAAATTTCTTTAATTTTAGACATGATCGAAATCGAGAATTAGTTGTATCATCTGAAGAATGAGATTTGTCGAGAATTAGTTGTTGTATCATCTGAAGAATGAGATTTGACACGAATCCACGACCTTCGAGGCTATGTTAGAAGTGAGATTTGACACAAGTCCACGACCTCATATTCGATGCACATAAAGTACTCGGGTTCAGTGATTTTAACTGATAATTTGTCGAAAGTTCAATATTCAGCAAGGACCGTGCTAGAAAAACAAGGCCAAAAAACAGGGAATTGGATACAGACACACTTGGCATCAAAACATTGGGGGATGGGAAAATTTAAAAGAAAAATCAGTAAGTCAGGTGGCGCCACATGTATCTATTTTTTATCCCTGTCTGAATTCCCTGTTTGAGTGGCTTTATCCATTCAGCAAACATTGCCCCACCGTAGAAATAGATTGCTGCACGGAAATGTGCGCATGGATTATCTGCACTTCTGCATACTGGTGTAACGGCTCTAACACGAGAACTGATTCATGACACATTTTATGAGGGTCGGATAGCAGGAGACGCATGTAAGGAAGGAAAAAAAATGGTGAAACCTAGTTCATACTATTATCCAGAAATATCCCATGCTACATAAAAAACATGTACATAATGCATAAGCAAATAAGACTTTGCACTCAAAAAATAGCTAGAGCCCAGAAAATGAGCAGAAAGCTATCCCTGGCAAGGACCAAAGGGGATTTTTCTTCGGCAAGAAAAAGAGGTAGCCAAGAAAGGCTGATGAACACTACATAAGTTTATGTAAATTGGATCCCAAACAATGAGAAAATAGTTTTACGCAGCTTTATACAATTAGCTACAGAAACATTTCCATTCATATGAAGAAAATATGGGAATCCGAGAACCTCAACTTCCTCGAAGATGCGCACAGTCATTCTCACAAAGCAATATTATCAGATCTGGAGAAAAAGGTTTATATTGAGGTCACTTGAGTTGACTGGAGTCGTCTCACCAACACTAAAGTTAAAGCATGTATGATTGTGTATAAAAGTAATTCAGAAAGCAAGTTTCAGCGTACTTTCTAAAAAAATAACTCTTAAGCACATTCAAACGAACTAATCATCAATAACAAAAACCTCCAAAAGCAAGTACACAAGTAATGCATACGTGGATGTTAATCAACAGTCATGACAGAAATGACAACTGAGTCTCTCTATTAAGAATAATTCAAATCAATTGATAAGCTTCAGTCTTTTAGAAACCAGGCAAGCTCAAACAGCAGTTTAGTGCAGTCAAGATGGATCAACATTTTCACTTCCACGATTGATATACCAAATCTACATGCTAACTTTAACAACGAAGATTATAACTTTTGTTCTGTTTTTCATACTATCTAATACTGTCAAGTCCACTTTACCAAGCATGCCTCTACTGTTAATATATGATGATAAGCAGTACTCAAAATCCTCCATCATTCCAATTTTCAGCAACTTGAGCATTTTCCATATTGTTACTATATTAGTCTACAGTAGCTCTTTCCGTATGATGCCCATCATTTTTTACCTTAACAAACTTACTTCAAGCACATAAACAAGGGAGCAACATATTCAATTAGTAAAAGGATGTAAAAACACATTAAAGTTTTTTTATTAAAAAAAAAGTTTTAAAACTAAACCCTCATCTTATATTTTATATTACACAATAAAAATGTGCAGAATTTTGTGAATATAGCCTGACCCTAAATATAGTTGCCAAATGCAGTGCAAAATTGTGCTGAAAATAATTTCACTGCACATAAAAAATATACAGTAATCCTTGCCCTGTTCTCAGGTGTGACACCCCACGGCAGACAGGTAGCAAGCTGTTAATTTTCCTCAAACTAAATACGTGTATATGGGGCCTGCCCTCAAGCAGTATCGGGAAGCCTGTGAGTCACATTAGGAATATCATAAAGATCATTACTTTTTTCCAAATCAAATCCATGAGTTCCCCTAAAAGGAAAACTAGGACATTTGCATTATAACAAAATAATCCACTCGTCATTTATTCAATGCAAACATAGCCTATTTTATCATATCAAAGATAATCCAATTCTATTCATTCAATGTTTATCTTTAAAAACGTTAAATAAGACAATCCAATCCCTGAAATGCAAAAGCTAGGATATTGCATCATGAGAAAAGACAATCCAATTCTATTCATTTGTGCAAACTTTAATTGTTTACATCTTAAACACGACCAGTCAGAGATAATAACACATTAAACCCCCTAAATTCTATTTAATGCCCTGAAATGAGCTGCCAACAAAAAATAATATTCTAGCAGCTATCTAGCTATTTCAAAAATACCCAAACCATTGTTTACATAATTCAGTATATACCTCAACCTGCACCGCACCAGATTCTTCCAGCCTCCATCCCAGAATTAAATCCACCTCTACATCAGATTATCAAACAGGTCCATGTTACATACCATCCAGCAAAAGATATACACTCAAAAGGAAACTTCAGAAACTCAAACATATGTGGAGGCAGATTGGTTTGGGTGCATGCAAGCGCGGAGGCACAATTGTGCGCTAAACGCTCACACACATTAGGGAGGGTGAGAAGGGGTACCTTAGGATCAAGAATCTGGCTTCATCTACCTTCTTCAATCTACTTCTGCAAGAAATAAAGTCCCAAATTATCAAATTCTGAAATCAACCCACAAGAAAACGATATACAAAAAATTAATCACGCGCACAAAGGGAAGATTTCCTTACGAGAGCATCATGAACCCTGTATGAGTCAGTTGTAAGCCCCACCAAATACAATCCCGGAAATACACCCTGTAAAACAACACATAAAATGAAAAATCCCACAAAACGCAGGAAAAAGAAGAAAACAAAAAACTGGTTTGAATTGACATACATCGAGTTGTTTCTGAATGTTTTTGGATCTCTTCTTGGGTCTGCGAGCGGGTTTCGACCCAGTTAAAGAGTAAACATCTTCTTCGATCTCCTCCCTTGACAACGAAATCCAAATCCTCATCTTCTCCTTCCTTTCCACGCCCAAGCCCATACCCAAGCCTTCATTCTGCTGCCCTCCTTCCGCCCAGCCCCTCAGCCTGTTTGACTTTACAGCACTAGTAGTGCTATTGATTCTGCTATTTTCTACTGTTGTTTCTCTCTTGGCCGCCGCCGCCTTGACCTCCTTCCTCGGCCTCAAATGCCACGGCTTGCCCCCCCAATTATCCTCCTCATCGGCACAAACAACACGATTTTGTGGTGGACTTTTCGAAATAGTGGGGGGCTGTTCCGCTCTAGTCTTAACGGGTCGGCTCTCGGAGCACGAATCAGGATCAGGGTGGCGGTTGTCGGGGGAATCGCGGCGGCGGAAGCGGTGATGTTGTGAGGTGGAGTTCTTGTGCGCCCATTTGAGTTGGGGCAAAGAGAAGTTGTGCAATGGCTGTGATTTTATGGGCGCCGCCTCCATCAGAAGCACCACCACATGAACACCTTCAGCCGTTTCTATGTGAGTTTAAGAAATTTTACTATAAGAACTGAAAATCCTGGAAGAATAAGTGTGTGCGTGTGGAGGTGTATGTACAGAGAGAGAAAGGAAGAGAGAGTGGGGGATGGAACAGAGGTGATGGAGGAGAATAGGTCAGAGAGTAAGAGGGCACGCTACGTATATATGGGTGTTGTAGAACCTGTACAGCGGTGAAGGTTTTAGTGCGTGTGTGTGCTTAGAGAGTTATGGAAAAGAATAAGCCCTTGTTTGGGCTCGACTAAAAATATATTTTGAAAAAAAAGAAAAAGTATTTCTGGATAGTAACGACTTGTTCTCTTTGTTGTTTTCAAATCATTTTTAATTTTTCAATTTTCAAAAATATCGAAAACACATTTACTTACTTATTTTTAATAACGAATTTCCAAAAACGAGTTTAAAATTTACAAATAAAAGGAAAAATGCCAAAAAAGTTGTTTTGACTATTTTCAGTTAAAACCAATCCAAAACTTCATTTTTTTTAATTTTTAAAATAATTTTCCAAAATGACAAAAAGAACATGTTTTCAACAATTTCAAAATGAACACTCAAAATACAAAATTCAAAATGAATTCAAAACTAAAAACTGAAATACGAAGAGAACAACCCCTAATATTTTGGAAAATTTAGAGCTGTGTGTAATACTATTTTATTGAATAATGTATAGTTCGAAATAAGAAAGAAAAAAATGTATTTTTAGAAAATGAAGGCCAAACAAGGGCTAAGGCTATTTAGCCCCATTGTGGTTAATCTCAGTTTATTTGGTGTTAGGTAATAAATTAAATAAAAGATAGAATTAAATAACTCATTTAATTGTACTTATCATTTTATGTCATATTAATATTATATAGATTGAAATTATAACTCAAGTTCATTGTACTTATCATTTAACCTCAATTCATTCACTTCTCAATTCTACATTTCTACATTCTATTTGAATATTCAATTTCTACAATTCACAAATGGATCCACGACCATTTGTTGAAAACTTGTTCGGTATGGAAGGCGAAACACTTGTCCAAAATCAATTTTGGAATGAATTTGCCAGTCTCAATGAATTACC